CGCCTTCCGTCTTTTTCCTTCATTTCGACTATGCTTTCTTATAAAAAATAAAGAAAAACCTCGATAAATTTGAAGGTCAGCATCGTACTGATAATTGGTGGAATGACATACGCTACACACCAATTTTATAAAAAAAAAAGTGAAAATGCCAGTTATTAATCAACCTCTCTCTAATGCATTCCCATTGATCGAAAATCAGATAAACAAAATAATCCAATTGAATGCCTCCTATGCTTTGAATTTACCGACCATTCTCCACGAATTTTAATGCATTTTGACGACTCTTTCCTCGTGTTGCTATGCAACAGAATTAATTATTTGTATAATTTTTTTCATGTCATAATGATTTTGTGATGGAAAGCCAATTGTGATGATTTGTAATTATTTCTCAGCTCATTTTGCAGTCCTAGATAATTTTCTCCTTCACAAATGTAAAATAAATATCGAGGTTAGAATAAAGTAAATGGATAAGAAAATGAAAACCGAGAATTAAATTCGAAAGAAAAAAAAAATATCAACCAAATTTGATACTACGATTACTTTGAATATACTTATACTTTACGACAATTTACTTCAATCTTGCGAATGCATTAACACAAAAACAGAATAAATAATGAAAACATCATATGGTATAAAAGCCAAGCCTGGTGGCGTTCATTTTTCTTCTCATAATAAATTTTAGACTTTCAATTTGATTCATTGATTTCTGGTAATAAATATCGGTATTTTGTGTAGTTCAACATAAAAAAAACATACAAACTTAATCAAATGCTGGGAATTAGGAAATTGCGGGAAATTCAAGTACATTCAATAATTTGGGTGATTTCTGTTACTTTAAACATAAATACTTGCAATTTCGAAATAGTCATAATGAATAGGTGGGAAAGTTTCCAGTAGAAATTACTAGATTGTGGAAATTTTCTCGTCAGAATTAAAAATTTCTCACTTCTCAATTCGCTTAAACCAACCAGCTTTTTCTAGCAGAAATGACGAACTCGAAAATATTGAACTCATCTTCAGGTAAAGGAGATAATTGAAACACTTTATGTCATAGGCGCCCATAATCCGCGATTCTACCGAGCGAAGTGAGAATGCTCCAGTGACATAAAATAGTGTACGAAACACGTGCGTTATGGATTTTTTGACTCGTGGGAATGCAAAACTCGCCTTCGGCTCGTGTTACAACCCTCCCACAAGCCAAGAAATCCATTACGCACTTGTTGCGTAATATACTATTAGTTATAAGTTGTGAACCTCATTATAGATTTCACCAAAACTTCATCAACAATGCTGGAATATGGCAAATTTTTGATAAAGA